CCATCTCATAGCAATAACCCAAACACAACTATAAACTACCATCCCCCCCAGATACAAATGGCAGAATCAAATCAAGCAAACACCCACTGACTGCTATAGCTTTTTAAATTGACATTTGATTGATGCAGGTTCTGGCACTGTCACTGAGGGCCACTGGGAGCCCCAGGGACAGGGTTCCAAAACGTGGCCTTTGGAGGGAATGAGAACCCCACTCGGCATGGGGACCACTATCTGACTAGCCTCCATGGATCCCAGTTCAGCGCTGCTGCTGCTCCTGGATCCAAGAGATCCTGGAGGTGTCTTTAGCATCTCAGTGTCAGTCCTCTAAGGTAGACCAAACCTGGAAACCAGACACACAGGCTAAGACTACTCTTTTGATAAGGTTCCAGTAACAATCTTGCAAGTCTGAATGCCCCCCTCCCTCCTTTATCTTCATGAGAACTAGGGAGGATCAAGTCTGAGATGCTTTCTCAAATTACATTCCTGCTTCGGATTCAGGTTTCTTTTATCTGGCCATTGTCTTGGTAGCGGCTCTTCCTCCTGTTCCTCAAGGTTACTCTTACATCCCATTACACCGCCCAACCCTAAACAGCTCTGAACACCTGACAACAATCAAAGAAACTAAAATAAAATAAATAAAACATCAAAGATTAAAGATGGCAAGTGCATTGAAGTGAGGGGTCTTGGTCTCCCTCAACCAAAGACCTGGGTGAAGAGCCGGGTCTTCACCACTCTTCTGAAGAACAGCAGAGTGGAGGACATCCGGATCTTGGGGGAACCTCATTTCAGAGGGCAGGTGTTGCTACAGAGAAGGCATGATTCTGGGATCCTGAGAGATGACATTGTTTGATTAAAGGAACCTGGAACATGCAAACCCTGCAGGATTGAATTGGCTGGATAGATGTTATGGGAGACAGGCAGTTAAGCATGTTGTGTGAACGCAGCTAGTAGGTCCTCCCAGGATTTAGTCCTGGCTTTGAATCTGAGGATTATGGTCATACTTCAGTCTGCTGAGCTACGTTTAGCCCCTTCCACACACCTGTAGGAGGGCTGGTGGTGAATTAAGTGCCTTGAGTGATCCCTTTACCTGTAGCCCTAGTAGAGTTAGTTCTGGATGTCCTCAGGCCAGAAGAGAAATCTAAACTGCATTTCTGCATGACTCCAGGTCTGGCTCCAACTCCAGAGGATCTCGTCTGCTAATCTGTACCCACTCAGGTACAGTCAGAGTGGGAAAGAGTAGCACACATAGGCCCAAAGCTATTAAGCAACCTTTGAAATTGTGGAATCCTTGGTGCTCTCTGAGCTTGGCTGTTGGCTTGCAGACAGTTCATTACCTGACTAGGGAACATCATCAGTGCAGGGGAGGGTGGGGTTTGCTCCCTGTTTATATACGGTAGCTTGTCCTGCCCGTGTTGGTGGGGTCTGGTTTCCTCCTTAGTAGTTTGTTGATTAGGGTATTGTTTTCTGCTTGATTGTTTGCCTGGTGTTAATCCCTGCTTATCTGGGTGTTGGCTGCTGGCTGACAAGTGGTAGGCAGTGAAGATTTTTCAGTATATAGATCACACGATCCCTGCGCCTGGTACTGGTCAGTGGCAAGTTCTGGACACTGCAAGGGTAATCCCAGGTCTGCAGTAGTCAAGGTAGTGTAACTCAGGAAGGGTTACAGTTGGCACCCTCATCATAATTGTGCAAACACAGTCCCTACCACAGCTGCCACTTGCAAATCCAGTGACAGTTGTGTTTGTAGGGCACATTGAACCCAAACTGCCAAGCTCCCATTTTAGTCCATTCTACCCCATTGTGGTAAATACAACACTTTGAGGCCAGAATGTAAACACTATGAGAATGGTAGTTGTTAGTGGGTACAGTGATGACTGGAATACATAAAAAGGGTAGCTGTGTTAGTTTTATTTATCAGAATCACAAGAAGGTCAATTGCAACTTTACTCTGTGTTAGTCAAAATGAGCCCAGTCTCAGGTATCACACAGTAAGGATTCAAACAAAGGGGAAACACATAACAAAAACAGGCCACAAGGTTTCAGGAGACTGAAAACTCTCCTATAAAGGAGATATTGAGGGAACTGGAATTGGTTATTCCTGAGAATACTTAGAGGGCAAACAATGTATTAGGTCATTTAAAGCTGGGTTTGCACAAGAACCAGCTAGGCTGAAATTGGGTAGAGTAATACACAATTCTATATGCTACACAAACTCTTCTGTTGTTTTAGCATGTTGTGTGAATTAGGCCATTGCAAATAAATCGTAATGTGATTTCTTTAGGCTCTGCATGTGTGAATGTATTTGTGTTTTTTTAACCCAAGTTTGGGGTTAAGCGTGTCATACGAAACAGCCACTGGATTATCACACACAAGAAGGACACAGTTTATTTTCCTATCATCCATGAATGCAGGGCCCAGAATAATAATCTTAATTTACAGGAAAACATGTTCTGAATCAGTTAGGAAAACCAGTGACCACTGTCTCTCAAAGAAGCTTTAATCTGGATCCAAGGCTCCCTTCCAATGCTATAAACATCAGGGGTCTGATAGCACCTTTTCCAACTTAAAAATGTTATTAGAAGACATAAGCTTTTGTTCATCAGATGCACAGAGTGGCTAGACCAGTGGTTCTTAAACTGTTTGACCCAGTTACCCCTTTTCTCAGTCTCAAATAATGACATTATCTCCACAAAAAAACACACACTGTTGTTTTACACAAGTGACTTGGTGGCAGGAGTCCTAAACTAGATACTCAACTCACAAACAAGCTGTTACAAATTGCTCCAATGCCCGCAGGAGATGCCCAGGTTACCCCCAGTTTAAGACCACCTGGGCTAGACTGATGTAGGATTTAAATTGGGGTGAGGAAAAGGGAGGGGAAGGCAGGCTAGTTATGCAGATGCTGGTTACACGTGGGACAGATTATAAGTACCCTATCCATTAACAATTGTAGTGGGTTAAAAATCCATTGTGTTTGTTAAGACCTTCTGAGGTTGCCTGAAACCTTTTGATATACAGTACAGTATATGAGTTCAACAATTTCTCACTTAAAGGTACTGTTTTCTAAAACAGTCTCGAGGTCTGCTATGGAGTGTCCTGGGAGATTGAAATGCTCTGGTAATACCATGCCCTTATTTGAGTCCTACCTGATGTCAAACTTGTGTCCATGAATTATTTTGGGTAAAGTTGTCCTGCTTGTCCTACCTAGGATCCAGAGTGGCTTTGCTGGCAGATGATGGCATGCATCACATTGGAGGAAGAACATGTGAAGACACCTCTAATCTTGTATGTGTACTTTTGGGGGCCTGTGACTGTTGCTGGGAGAAAGGAGACATCTGGGTTTGTCGCAGGGTCTGGCTCCCATGTTGGCATCGTTGCTTTTTGCTGCTTATGAGAGTCTACTTCAAGTTGGGTGGATGTCTGTATGCAAGTATGGGCCTGCCACCCAGGGCCCGAGAAAGTGCAGGGTCAATATCCAGTATGGGCTGCAGCTTATTAATAATGCATTTGAGTGGTTGTCCACCAGTTGTCACCTACAGCTCAAGCCATCTAATACAGCCCTCCTCCTACCATGCCTCTCAATGCTGTGGTTCTGTGAAGCACTAATTTCCTGCTCTTCAGCCTGAAAGCATTGTTTTTAGTATTTTGTAATACATTAGAGTTGTGCTCCCAAGAGTACAGTCCAAACATGGTAGAAGAAAAAGCTGATGGGAAGGGAGATGAAAATAAGAAAATTCAAGCAACAGTCTTTAATGCATTACATTATGTAAAGCAAGCTGTGATGAACTTTGGGCTACTTAGGGAAGCTTTGATGATCTGCCTCAACTCTGTTCCTCTTTCTCCCAAGGAAGGTGTGTTCTGGTGTCTCCTGTATGGAAAAGCACAGGACAGCTGATGGCAGCCAGCAGCGAGTGGAAGTGGCTGCTTTTCACTGCCAGCTTCTTCCTATGGAAAAACCCCTCTTATTCAAGGTGAAAAAAAGACTGTGGGGCAGATACGGATATGCTATCATTGCCTCCTTAATTCAAACATTATTTTCTTGGGATTGCACGGCTACAGTGTTAGCCCAGGAAAGTACATACTTTCTTTAAAGAGGTGCCAGCTGGTACAACTTCAACATTTGTTCCAAAGTACTTTTTTGGCTTCAGATTCAAACCACATCAATCTGACAAATTTAAGGGAATTGACCAGAGTGCCAATCCGAGGTCTCGTGCAATTAAAATTACTCTTAATTGCAAGTAACTGAAACCAGTGAACTTTGTTTCATCTAATGTATTTTCACTTGGTGACGTTAGTCTGGGGAAAAATAGAGTTGTTTAAAACTTGCCTTATACAAGGTCATAATTATACTCACTTATGTCTTGGACACCTTGCAACTGGTCTCCTGCCAATACATTCATTCTACACGAGGCTGCCCTCAAAGACCACCTAGAAATTACAGCTGCTCCAGAATGTAGCGGCACGAGCAGCGATGGGCAAGCCTTGCTATGTCCATGTAACACTCTGCTACATGAACTGCACCAGTTGTCATTTGGCTTCTGGGTGCAATTCAAGGTGCTGGTTGTTACCTGTGAAGCCCTACATGGCACAAGGGCTGAATATCTGAGGGACTGATTGCCTTCTCTGTTGCTGCATCTGGCCTTTGGAACAGAGTCATTCCCCCCCCCCAAGATACCTGCATAACCCCCACCTTGCTGGCCATCAAATGATCTTTAAGAAGTTGGCTATCGCCCCAGACCAGGGCCTAGGTGACTTGGATGGGTCCCCTTTAGTGGTGGGCATAGTGGGGATCTGTTGTGATTTCTTCTGTGGTCTCGCTCTGCACCTCGGTTATGGTTCAGGATGGGTCATGTACAGTTTTATATTTTATTGTGCTTTTAGCTTGTGAAGCTGCCCAGTCATTTGGAACTGGGTGTCTTAAGGAATGCGACATTATAAATAAATGCAGTATAACTGCACACATTCTGCAAGGGGATAAATTCTTCAAATGCATATAGAAGCACCTGAATAACCCATTCTGCATGATAATTTTTTATCTTTAAAAACAGATATTTGCAAACACATGTATAAGACCCCACAGTCTGATTTTTTTTGTCCTTTTGCTCCTAGTATCAGTCTAACTGGATCCACATAAATTTCCACATTTGGAAATTTCAAAAGAGAAGATAGAAACTTAGCTATCTGAGTCAAATCAGTCTTTCCTAAGCGTATGCCACCATCACATTTTGATTTAATCTGACCAGAATTAAAGCTAGGAAGAATTTTTAAGTATAAAGAGACACAGGAAAAGAGTGGTGATTTATTATGAAAAAAATACAAAATTACCTATACAATTGCTTTTTTAAAAAAATAAAATACAGCTTCCAATGTCATATGCAGCACTCAACACCTCAGTGCTCTTTATCCTGAGCCAGCCCACAAATGGAGGTTACAAGCACTTGTGAAGCCGAACTGCACAGTATTTAGCAAACCAGAAAGATGTACCAAACCCATCTTCCTGTAAGCTCTGAAAGACCAACATCATTAAAGTAACTGTAATTCATTAATAATACTGCTTGGCACTTTCTCCCACATGCTTTCTGATATACAGCAGCAGGATACTGAAGGTCCAGTAACACAGATTCTTATTTCTTTCAACAGATTTTTCAGACTTTGAATTAGGAAGCTTATGAAGATAAATGCGTGCTTCCATGCATAAGATCTTACATGGGTCAAGACGTGACAAATTTATCAATAGCATGGAAGGAACTGTCAGCCCTACGGGATAGACCAGATCAGGAACTGACTCCACTAGGACTATCTCCATTCTCAGGACTTAAGAAATGCTCCTGTCCTTTTGGTTTGTGTAATGGGTTCTAAATATTTGCTTCAAGGCCATTTCCCTGGGTCTCTACAGCAGTGTTTCTCAACTTTGGCAACTTTAAGATGTGTGGACTTCAACTCCCAGAATTCCCCAGCCAGCCAAGGTTGAGAAGCACTACTCTACAGGAACAGAGAAGGGAATTCCATCCCTCTCTCCTCACCCTGGGAAGACGGTAGGGCCAACAGCTCCCTTACTGCTGCTTCAAAGAGCCAGCAGGCAGCCAGCTCTTTGGACAGGTCTGTCAGTCACCGTTAGCCTTGAAA